ATGACCCATTCATGCTGGTAGCAAATCATCTCCTGTTTTGAGTGTGGATATAGTTTATATCGTGATTTTCTTCACTGGATAAATTCTTTGTCTCTAGCATCCTACCTGTACTGTTAGTCTTGATGGATGAACTCTGAAAACAATGAACTTTGCCTTGAGCTCAATAAATGGTGTAGCTATAGGGATCCTTTCAGACAGTTAAAGATCAGGTGTGGTGGACACAGGTATGAGGTACACAGCTAACCACACACACACAAAGAGGACTCCTTCCTAAGACTTGACCTTTCTCCCCCACACGCTTCTTTACAAAACCGTATGTTTCTTGCCTTCAAAGAATAATAAGTACTGTAGGGAAGACAGAGTCTGCTGGAAAGGCAGTTAACCATTAAACAGGGGTTTAATGGATAGACATTAAAGGGGCCATGGATAGACAGCAGATCTACCAAATTACTACTAAATACTTATTACATACTAAGTACTTATTAAATTGCTAAAATCTGCATCAGAATTAGCAGCTAGATGAGATCTTCTGCTTATAAGCAGGGATCTACATGGAAATATAGTCAGTCATCACCATGGCTTGCCAGCAATATTGGGCCTCTGCAGGAGGAAGAATGTAGAAACTTGGTTGGTCAAATTGCGTAGATCAGTTCTCAGGAAAGAAAAAGGCCTTTCCAGAGTTAGCTTGAATTAAGCTGATACATAGGGATGCAGTTCTGATAATTAAGGGTTTTGTAGAGCACTCCAAGTCACAGTAGCTGTTAAGGGTACTTGGGCTAAATATAAGAGTGAACCTTTCTTCTTCATCAGAATGAAAGCTTTCTTGTTTACCCCTAGGCTGTTACATATCTTCACCTTTCCGTATGTAGAGGGCTGTGCCTTTTCTAGTAAGAGAGATTAAAAATAATGCACCTCTTTCCCGTGAAGTATGTCCCACCAGTCATCATTTTCTCCTTGCTGTCTTGGTCCCGAGCATGGTGCTATGTAATACTCCTAGTGGTGCTTTACTTTTGTCTTGCTTTTTGCATTGTCACTCACATATTCCTTGGTGTACATCATCAGACTAGGAGCCATTCCTCACCTCTGTTTCTATTTCTCCTCTCACGCGTCCAAAAATCTCTTGTACTGACTTACAAAAACAGCTGGAACTGCAACATCACTCCATTTTAAGCTCTGAATTGTGTTAGCCATTACATTGGTTCCACATGCTGCTTGGGTGGAGACATCAGTTAAAATTCCCAGCACGGCCAGTCAGGCCAGGAATTGCAGCTCTGTGTAAGCGGTGGTGACTTTCTAATTCTTGATTACATTATGCTAGAAAAGAGGATTGTTCCCAGAGCAATTTACCAAGAGGGGAAAAATGGAAATACTGTTCAAGGATGACCTTCCACCCCAGTGATCTATTTGGCTGGCATCTGTTATTGCTCAGCTTCTCCGTCATGGGTTTTGCAGTAGTCTAGTGCTTTGTCATCACTACTAAGTGGAAAACTCCTGAGCTCACTAAACAGTTTGTGAGGGGTTTGGGTAATGGCAGATAGATTTATGAACGCAACTTCAGAACAAAGTATTCATCAAGGTTCCCTGAAATAAACACGGGTCCTATTTGAGCAGGCTTTAAATGCATTGATTCTAAAAATTTCTTCCGTCTAAAGCGCTATTCCTGAGCCCAAGATCCTGAGAGAGACAGGAGAGAGGAAAAAGAAGGGAATTACTTTGCACCGCTCCAGCATGGGAGCAGGAAAAGTGTTGTTGCGATTGTCTCCAAGAAAGAGGCAGTGCTGTAATCCTGTTTCATTTTCGTACGCAGAACTTGAAAAGATTTTTCCTAGAAATGTGTAATGGGACTGTCAGAAAACAGACCACTCCCCTTCCCAGTAGTTTCCTGCTGAAGTCATTTAAGGCCTCTCACAGCTTTCATCTGTGTAGGCACCGAGAGCTCATGGGCCAAGATTTTTTTTTTTCTTTTTTTTTCTTTTTTTTTTCAAATGGAATACAAGCAAAAATGAAGTGCTTTAAAAAAAGTCATTAGGAATGAAAGTTGGAAGTTTCTCTGCATGTGAGGCTGGCTCACCACTTCATCAGTTTCTCATTTCCGTTCTGTTGCCGTCAATCCCAGTGAAGTGGATCTAGGTGTTTTTCTTGTTTTAGGTACTGCTAAAAGCATGCATGTGAGCTGCCCAAAGGGGTGGAGAGAAAAGTTGTTCCTTACTTCACTTCTGGGACTGTCTGTTCAGGGCTTTACACAGGAGGTGACTTGGAAAGGCTTGTGAATTCCATTTACTGTGCACTCAGACCTGATGATCGCAGTAGGCTGAACATATAAAACCTGCTCTGCAGGCAACAGCCCTAGTGCAGTAGCTATTTAAAGAAAAAAAAAATCCCTTTATGGAGCTGGCAGACAGCCTGCATTCACAAAGATGAGAATTTTTGTTGGTATATATGCCGTGTTGATCACAAATGATCGAGGCGACGTGCTTTAAAAAGAAGCCATTACTACCCTGAATAAATGGGTGCTACTCAGCATGCATTTTCTGGTTGGACTGAATTCAAGCCTCCCATTCTGAAATGGATAGCTTTTTTGGATTGCATTCACTTGTCTTTCAGACAAATCTGTAGTGTGGATTTGTTCCCTTAGATGAATGATACACATTTCATCCGGTTTCTTTCAAGTTGAACTGTGCCTGGCACGGGAATGATAAATTATTTTTTTCTTTCTCCTTCTGTCTAGAAGACCATGTTGTACTATGAAAGATGAACTTCATTCCCAAGACAGATGAACTGCATTCAGAGGTGGATTTACTGATACATGTTTGTAATGCTGCAGTAGTGCCATGGGCACCTCATGAGACAGGCATACATTGTGGTACTGTTGAGCCTTAGTCACATTCCAACCATCAGCCCTTTTGTAAAGCTTTAATTGGATGTTATATGTCCCTAAAGCCTAGAGGAGTCTTCTCTACATGGAGTGAATTTTCTTATTTTCTTTTACTATTAGTCTTTGAGGGTGGTGATATATATACACAAGTATTTCAGCCCTAGAGCATGAAGAACTTTGTGAAGTTAGCTTGCCGTTTTATGCATTTATGCTAGTATTTAAGTAGGCTGCCAGCATGCTATGAGTGCAATCTGCTATATTGATGAGACATTTAGAGTGTGTATTTGCATTTGCTAAGAAATTGTGCATACCTGATACATAATTGTGTGGAGTTTTCTTGATCCAGTGGATGAGGACACTTGGTGAGATGAGAGTACAGCCTAAAGAACAACTTAATGACTGCTTTGAATTTAACACCTGATCAGGTCCCAGGATCAAATTTGGGACTGATGAGCTAACTGGCATACTCGGAGAAAACTTAAGTTTGCTCCAAGCATCTGACCCTTCTCCTGCAGTGCTAGCAGGCTCTGAGCATTACCTGTCCCTGTCACCTCCCTACGTCCCATCTGCCCATGTGATGAGGCCATATGTTTGAGGCTAGACAAACAAGATGTCCTGTGGTCTTTCTGATAGGACCTGCCATGGCCTGATGTGAGGACACATGGCACTTTTAGACAGTCTGGATTCAGGTTGTCTGCAAGGGCCACCTGGAAAGGAGAAGCTGGGTTGTGTCTCAAAACCTGTTTCTAGGAGTGGCCACCTCAGGTACAATTTAAGCAAACCTCCAGGGCTATAGCTACAGTCCTGTTTGTGCTGAAAACTTACCCAGCCTTTCCTAAGGCTTCAGATCCTGATTTACTTGCTAAGGTATATTTGTTTGTCTGTCTTGTTACTGGCATTCCTGTTGCTTAACTACAGCATCGACAAAAGTTCTTGTCATACTGAAAACAAGATTTGAGCTGAATCCAAAGACTGTGGAGTCGGTGCAGCTGTGTGATGGGGAGGAGCTGGTACACGCTTTCAAAGATTTGAAACTATTAAGTATATATTCAAGGAAACAGCATCTGAAATGCTTTTATTTCTGGTGGTAACTGGTGATTTTCACCACATATAGCTTTGATTCTTATTATAACTTCTTGTATCAAGAGTCCAAGACTAGCTGACCTGACTTCTGTGAGTTAGCGATGGTAATTAGAGATGCCTGATCTATTTTATTGTGATATGTATATATGCTAGTACATGTTGACAATAGGAAGCATATAATGCAGAAGCCATTCTGCCAGAATCTCTCGCTGCTGTTTGGCCCCTTGTGTGACGGGTGGCACCAGTCACCACAAGTCACCGGTGGTGACCTAATGACCAGTCACCACTAGTCACCACCTAGTCTTGGTGCAGCAGCATTCTTGTACAGAACCCCTTTCTGTCTGTGAGCGCCTTTCTAGGAAGCAGCAGCAGCACAGCTGGCTGAGTGTCTGAGGCGTGCCATGGACAGAGGTGGTAAAAACCTACACAAGCAGCATAAGCCTTACTTCCTAACAATAAAACAGAGCTGCTGGCAGAAAGTGATAACAGTGTCAGTGGCTGTTTAGATTAGGGAAGGATCGGGTGTGTTCAGTGAAGGGGATAGTGTTTGTTTAGGTTTTCTCTCCTGGGATTAGTTTAGCATTTCAGGCACGTTTGGGAACTTTTTTTTTCCCCCAGTGGACTAAGATGTGAGCTGGACAGTGTGTATGGGTCTGAGAGAATAAGACTTTACAATGCCTCAGAAAAAGCAATTGCATATCCTATAATGCTAGCCTTGTTTCTGGGTGCCCGTATCGACTCTCAGTATTTGCCTGCTGACATTTCTTTCAGCCTAAAATCCAGAAGAAGATGCCTGTTTCAGCCTGTTGGGGCTGACAAAATACTAAAGATAGATAAAGCCATAGAGTAAAATGCAGCTGAAAGCAGTCCTGTACGGCGAGTCCCTGCGTGTGCTGTATCAGAGGGAACAGCTGGGATCTGCTACTGACAGCACTACTAAACCCACGGGTTTTTTTCCGTCTGACTGTAGGCTGAGTGTGCATGCCCTGTCCAGAGACATGAAGGTTATTTAGAGCAGCATGGTCTGAGTCACTTTGTCACAAGCTAGTTCAAAAGGCATAATGCTGTGTGTAAAACTGCTCCAAGAAGATGGGGAGCAGCCACAGAGGGACATACTCGTACAAATCACTATTCAGAGATCTTGAAACATTAAACCACATAGCTCTGAAAGAAAAGGCCAGGACCCCAAATATAATTGGCCAGGGTAATGGAAATTGTTAAAAGAATGAATGGGAGCAGCCACAGCCATTGCCAAAATCATTACGGTCATCAAGCTGAAAAATGAGCCTGGCAGTAGCAGTACATCCAGATGGCCAAACAACAAGACTTATTGGTAATACATCCATTTGCCTGATTGGAATCTTGTCCACCCACCAGCTCAGGGAGACTCCAGAGGAGTCCCAAAGGGGCTCCCAAAATCACAGGCACTGAGCTCCTCTCAGTCTCTGAGGACTCAACCTCCTCAGCGGTTGAACAACCACCAATGAAGGCACAGGTTCAGTGGAGTCCTACGTGCAAACACTGCATCGTGATGTTAAAATGGATTATTTTGTAACACTGCAGATCCTGTATTCCATGTGGCTGGGCTGAAGTGCTGTGTGTGCTGCCAGTATGGCTAAAAGCGTGTCAGCAATTAAGTACCCCAGGAGGTCTCTCTGAAAACTGATGTACAGGCTCGTGTAGCTCGCCTTGCAACATAACTTTTCCCAGCAGAATGTGATTGCTGTAATATGGAAGGGAGGTTTGCTCTACACATGCTAAGTACCCTTATCTCTCAAGTGGCCTGACTAACATAATTAGATTAAACTAAGAGGAATTGGGCTTTACCTTGTCTCTAGCTTGGATTTTGCCACTCCTTTTCAGACCCAGAGAAGGGACTTTGAGCCCGAAAGCCTCCCTACTCTTTCCAATTATATTAACTGGCCTAATAAAAATTTTACGTGCATGTTCTCTTCCTACAAACTCTGCTTCTCGCTTGCTACACATACAATTATTAGTTCCATCCTAGAATGGTTGGCATGTATGTAAATCGGAATAAGGGGATCTGACCTGAACTGTGGAGAAAGAAAAGAAAAAAGCCAAAGTTACTGTGCATCAGTGTAAGAGCCCTTGGCCAGCTGGCTGAGGAAGAAACCCCCTCCCCAGCAACTGAGCATTAGGGTTGGGAGCCTGAGGTCACTGTCACACAGAGGATATGGGAGCACACAAGGCATAAGTCAATCCATGGCTACAACTGTAATGGAATTTGCAGCTTTTTGTGACCAGCTCTGCTCCTCAGATCAGCTTTAGGAACAGTGCCTGACCCCTGTGGTGTGGAAGCAAACCTGGTTCTACTTTCCAGGTAGAACTCAAGGAGATTGACAGGGGTCCTGGAGTTATAATACAAAAATCACTAGTCACACTAACGTAAGCCAATTTCATGAAGGTAATTCAGATTAAGGAGCAGGTGAAGAAAATGCAATAAACATAGAAAAATGAGGTTTCTACTTCTCAACATGTCTTTTTAGGATGAGATTAAGAAGCAGAGTTTAATCTTAAAAAAGGCAGAGATGGAAATGAATAGTGAGGATGTTGCTTTGTTTGGGTTTGTTGTTTGGGTTTTTTTTTACTTTTGTAACAGCTTAAGTTTTTGAGTTCTTTTTCTGAAAATTGTCATTAATGTAGCACTGTTTTTCAGTAGTTAAAAATCAAATCCAGGTGGTTACCATAATATTAAGTTATCCTCTCTACAATTCACCAGTCCTCTTAAAGAGACAGCTTTCTTCATAAAGGATCTGCTTTATTTTTAGACAAAACTGTGGCTATTTTATGTCTAGCTCATTTTAAAAACTACTAGCAAGGCAGAACCAATAGATACTGACATTACAGCAAAACACAGTTTTTCTCAATTTGTAACCTCTTCTATGATACCAATATTGCAATATTATTTCTTGTTTACACTGACCAGCATCCTGATAACAAAAGGCAAAGACTTGATGTGGTAACAATAAACACTAGAATGTCCTAGATGTCCCTTTGCAGTACATCAGCACTATGAAGAGAGGTGTGTGTCAGCTGTGTTAGCAAAGTAAAGGTGCCTGGGACGCCTTCTCGCTTCCTCTCCTTTTTAAGTAAACCTTGAAAAGACAAACAGACCTCCCTTTCAGTGTGGGACTGAAATGTAGTACAGAATGATTCACACCAAATAAATAAATGCTTTTCAGTTGCAATCATTCCCTATTGAGTTGAAGTGGTATTATGCTGTTGTAGTCTCTTCAGTTCCAGAAAGCACACACAAATGACATGATTTTAACACTTTAGGAGGAGGAACTGCAGCTTGCACAGAGCACCCAGCCAAAATTGTATGATGACTGAGCTCAAATCTATGCCAGTTTACAACTTCCACTACAATTAATTTCATTTCTCCACTTCATTCCTGGAAAATTAACCCTGCATGAGAAGCCTCAGGCATTTCGTCTATCTCCAGCTTCCACAGTATTTGCCACTGAAGAGTTCAAAACACTTATAACCCCTTTTCAGTTTAAACTGGTTGACAGTAGGGCTGCTACACGAGGAAATTGAAATTCTACTCCCATCTACGACACCCATTCACCTTAAAGGGTATCAATAAACATACACAACAAAACTTTTGAACTGGTCATTTTGAGCACAAACGCATGCATAGGAATACTCCCACCTAACGCTGAAACACAACCACCTCTTTGGTGAGCCGCATAAGTGATACCACAGTTTGTAGCAACACTAAATAATCATCTACTCAGCCTACAGCAAAAATTGAAGCAGTGGGAATGCGCAACATTTGAATCAGCACTTGTTGGGAAAACATTTCTCTTGTGACATAGAAACCTTATTGACTGCAAATATCCATAACTTTGATAGTACTGTACTTACACCTGGTAAATTCTGCAAAAAGGTCTTCAACGCTGGGATTAGGACAGAGATCTTGTTATTAGCTGGAGTGAGCAGACCACGTGAGAAGGACCATTGTTCCTGCTGACAGTAGCTTTGCACTTCTAGGAAGAATTCTTCTTATAAACACCAGCTCCAGCCCTGCGAAATATGTATATTCTGATGAGACCGTAGTCAGAGACGATGCAACAGTCACGACACTGATTTGTCACATACAGTTTCTACGTTCTATGTGAATGAATCTCTCTCTTCAGACTCAGCTCTGTAATGAAAACACTTTGCTTGAGGTCTGAATTTGTTCTTTCCTTTCATTCTTTAATATTCCTGTAGAGGTGAGGTCTGATACTCCTGTACATGTGCAATAGCATCTGATTTCCCCAAATGTCCTATTAATTTGAACAGGATCATTTAATATTAGACATATCATGCAGATGTTACAGTTAGCATTTCTGAGGTTTGTCTGTGCTGACAAACAATTCTGCCAAGGAGTTTGCTCATTAAAGCAAACAGACAAACAAAACAAACCAAATCTAGGTGAGACCTGAATGCATTTAAGTTAAGTTTTTCAGTATGCTTAAATAACAACAACAACAAAAAAGTAGATGATTTTCCTGTATCCATTTAATAACAAAAAAGTGTATTTCTAATATTATATAAGGTTCAGTTTTTCATTGGGTTTGGGATCTATGGGAATTCTTTCCTTAGTAAAAAGAAACAAACAGAAAAAATTCTCTATTTTCCCAGTGGTGCTCATTACTGATGCAGACTCACTGTCGAATTGCCACTACGCTGCAGAAACATATACAAATCAAAAGCCTTCATATACTGGAAATGTAACAATTTAGCAAGCAGAATATACAATTCATATAGCTAAGAACGGAGAGTAGGCACCAAAAAATTTGAAATATTTTGTCAGTTTGTGGTTTTTTAATATAACTTAAGAAATTTAAGAATATTGTCTTGAAATATTATTCATATATACTGTCAGATTATGTGAATTCTGTTCCACAACGGTTGCCTTCTCCTTGGAAAAAATACATGTTAAACCATTGTAATTATCTAATTATTTTTTCTTTTTTTTCTTTTAATTGGAAAACTGCATAGAATTAGTTGCAATTATAAAAATTCAGATCAAACTGCTTAAAATTTAACTCTGTAAGTAAAAAATACATATGTATAAAATTAGCAATGTTTAAAAGTCTAAACAGATCAGTTTCTGTAGTAGCCAGTTGTTCACTAGTAAACATGCTCCATCTTTCTACTACGAAGCAGCAGATGAATTCTTGCAATTCTCTTTGTAATTCTGATCCAAGTCCTTCTGAAGCCAGTGGAAAGATTTATATTAAAACAACTCATTAGGACTTCATTTTACATGTGTTTGTCTCACTCAGATGAGTGCTTACTTCATCTTGTTATTGCAGGGCTTCCAATCTCAGCTCTACAGTCTGTAAAGAGTTCATTTTTTTCTCAAAACTGAGATCGTATATTAAAGAGAGCACTGTGGGACAGCAACAGACATTTGTTACTGGTCCATGGCAAGATTCCAAATTGTATCAATTCTAGGAATATACTTTCAATAAATTTAGAGATAACAAATCATACTGACCACAAAAAATGTCCTTAGGTGACACCAATAATGAAGGAGAGTCACTTCTGACAGGCAATTCTTGTTCTTGCAGGTGTGCTCTCACAAGGCTGGGAAAGTCTTTATTTTTGCGTGTTTCCATGGTAATGTTGGCAGTCCTAAATGGAAACAAAAATATTTAAAAGGAGATGTTAAAAAAAAAAGCGTGATTCAAATGTGACTGAAGTTTGTATTTTTCTAAGAGTAGAAAGCAGAAATGTTGTTGTATATGGTTTTAAAAATTCTATCTAAATTCAATCCAAAGACAAATTGAGGCACATTTTTACAAACTGTTGTGGGTTTGGCATCATTAAAAACACTTTAAGGAAGGGCTTTTAAGAATCAGCAAACATAAAGTGACTTCTTTCATGTTTTGTTTTCTGAAACAGGCAGCCATTTTCTACAACTTGAATTTCCATATAATCAAAATAATCCTTGTAAGGGTGAAAACGGTTGCTGCCAAAAGGACACAAGACAAAAACCCAAGCAGGTTTCGTTTCTTTTAGAAATCGCTTTCAAACATTTTGAATGCTTAAGATGAAACATACACCGTCTTTAAAAGAAGTCTCCAACACTCAAGAGAGCTTTCTAAATTTTCTTTTTTTTACTCCTGAAAATGAAATCAGGTAAGAAGCTCTGCACCTACACTGCAAGACAGAGAGTACTGAAGGTGCTGTCTGTGCCTTTGCTTCTGCTTCGGATGGAGGCCGAGCCGTCAGATGGCCTGATGCTGAGGTAGCTTCAGGGACCTGCTGGCAGGGCTATTTATACACCGTGGTCGAAAAATAGCACTTGAAAGTGCCTCTGTTACAAGGCCCTGGTTGAAAAAAACCCAATTCCGCATCTGTTAAAACTTCCAAAAATTGCTTTCCTCAGTGTAGAAGCCGGATATATATTTGTTGAATCAGGCTCTTAATTAGGTAGGACACAAAGGGCTTTCTCCCCCTGCTGTACTTCCTGCTCAACAGCAGTGTCCCCCCTGCTTTCTGCTAACCCTGCTAAAATCCGATGTGGGATTTTTGTTGTTGTTGTTATTTATTTCCACAAAGATATGGTAGTAATCAGCAACCGATTCCCTTTCTCCCTCCCCCTTCCCCCTTTTAATTTCAATATTTTTTTTTTTCAAGCCAAATTTCTTCCCGCTTACTTGGGCTGGTCTTTTCATTAAAACAAGTCCTTCAAGTGACCCCCAAACATTTGCCCTTCCTGTCCATTCTTGGTTATGCCAAAACTGTTAGTTCACAACAGGAAACCAATAGCTTGTGCTATCAGGAGACATTTCCTTCACAGCACAAAACGTCTGAATAATAATTTCAAGCAAGGCTTCACCCATTTCCTGTGAAAGGAGGGAAGTTTGCCTATCCCAGTCCCTCAGAGCTCTTTGTTTCCATCCCTTCGTGACGTAATGCTTTCTGCAGAGGGAAGATGGATCATTTTCCCTGAACAGCACTAAATTCAATATCCTGTGTAAAGTTTTCATGCTGCTCTTCAGCAATGAAACATGTAACGTTTACAAATAATAAAAAGTTATGCTCTGGTTTATACTTGTGGTGTCTCTTTCAAAAAATAAACTGAACTTTTGGTGCCTGGAAAGTAACTATAATGAAAACATGAAGGCTAAAGACAGTCTGGTTTACTAAACATTTTCCTGGCAGGCTTTTTAACTCTGCAGCCCTAAGTGCTGCCTCTCCTCCCAGCAGAGAGCAGAGCCCACCTGGTACCAGCTCTTGCTGAGGACCAGAATGCCCCAGACTGGAATGTCCATTGTGGCACTGCACTTTACAGGAATACTGCAGATAAACCATCTCAAACAATTAAGCACATGCTTAAATTCATCCCTATATAGCAAAACATTCACTTAAGGGAATACTGAAGAGTGACTGACTTTTTAAAGCGATGCGCTACATCAAAGCCTTAATATAATGGCAATGCTAAATTGTTCAAAAGGGAATTGGCAAGCAATGCATGTGTTAGTTCTTCAGTGCTGGAATATTTAGGGATATTTAGGATGCATAATTTTAGGCAAAAAAATGTGTTAAGCTATTCTTTATCCATAAAAGAAGTAAGCATAGATATTGCTATGTATAAGCTACTTTTTTCCACTGAAACCTACTGCGGTGTTTCTGAACTTATTCTTGTAAAAAGATACAACTTGGAATCAGGATATGTGTTTTATTTAATTTTCTACAGGTTTTTTTTTTTTTTTTAACAAGCTTAATAAGGGCTTGTGAATATTTGGGGGTTTTTTTAAAATCACCTGTCTCAGGAAGCAAGCAAGCATAAAAGGAGAATTTGTCAAACAGTTTGAGGACCTTAAAAGTAGCTCTTGTCACAATTGTTATTATACTGCAGTTTTAATTACATTATTTGCTGTCACACAAAAACCACTGTAAATCTCTCTCTCCATTATTCTGAAGACAATAAAAGTTTTATTACATTTGTGTCCTCTGTGTGTTTGTCATTTGAAATGTTTGAGCCAACTTGAAATACTGCATCTTTTTTTCTAATTCCCTGGTTCTAATCAAGAGGCCCAGCAGAGTCCACTTACCGGTTTCTTCCCTCCTTTGACAGGCATGGCATGCATTTCCGACCCTCCGCCTCCTCAGCTGGGATGCCACAGGTAGTAGGCACCTTCCTTCACGCAGATTCTAGTCATGTTTGTGTTAGCTAAATAAACCATTTTAACACCTCTCCACTAGGAGCTGTGTTTAAGAATAGCAGCTTTGTGTTTCAGCGTCTCTTGCTTGATAGACAGGAATGTGTTTTTCTTGCTGAAAGTCAGCAGGACCTTTGCATTTTGTGTTTTCCAGTCCATTTCCAGAAGTAGATCTGTCGGTGCAGAGATTCTCTGCACGAGGCAGATTTCACCCCCCCTTACCACCTTCAGTCCTCACTTTCCCCATCAGTGACTGTAAGATATGAGACAATATCGTTCTCTTTATATTTGTTTCAGAGGAACTGTAAAAATGAATTTTTTTTCACTACAGCTGGGGCCAAGTAGAGTGTTTCCCTCTCAGTGTCTTTCACAGATCAGAAAACTGGTTCTGAATCAAGAAAAAAGGCTGTAAAATACCATTTGGTCATTTTTCTAATTGTTCAGCCTTAAACTGGGACATCTTGTTGAACACCTGCTTTGAAGGTAATACCCCAAGGCTATTGTCGCATCTTGCTTTTCTTTTTTTCCCTTCCCAATTTTGAATTCCCTTTCATCTGGGCATTTGAGTATGACTAAGTTACATTCAATTGTGTAACAAAACCCCAACTGGTTGGTAATTCAATGGTTTGTAAGGCCAAATCCGGAAACCCTTACTTTGTTCTGGCCATCTGGCTCCAAAGCAGAGTAACAGGTGAGCTGGAGGATGTTCTGAGAAAAGCAATGCAAAAAACTGTGTTATTCGATTGGCTATTAGAGAAATACAAATGCCAAGGTATAAACATGCATACTTAAGAAAAAAATATGAGGCCAATCATCAGAGAAAGCTTTCTGTCTATCCCATGTTTTAATATCACACAAAGATCTTTTATAGCAACTGTGGGAACACAATGTCCTTTTCAGCTTGTAAAACTACATTTGCAAAGCGCTCTGAAAAGGGCTGTGGGTACCACCACAAACTGGCAAGAAATGACATCTAAGTCCCTTCCTTCCTATTATTAACTTGTGTAATACTGTATATATTTCAGTAAACTTCACTAGAAATCCCATGAGAATGGGAGTTTGGGCAGAGTATTTATATTTTGCTATGGAACAGATCACAGAACTCTGTCCATCCGTCAAAACACACAAGCAAATCATGCTTAAACCCAATTCTTTAGTTGGTGAGCTGAGACTTGGAAAAATTAGGAAACTTGATGAAGGCCATGTAGGAATGAATGAGAGAAAAGAGGCTCATGTGGCATCGTCTGTGAGCCATTACAGAGGCTGCAACTGCATGTACCAGCTTCTGGGACGCATCACACAGTGCCAGTGTGCAGATGGTTCTAGACTTCTCTGTTTTATACACATCAAAATTGTCAGAGAAGTCTAGCGTGCTCATTGCAGCAGCAGTGATGGTCTCTGGTGTGGCTGGAGGGGAAGGGAGAAAAGGTGGTGCAGAACAACGCTAACAGAGCAGGCAATGCCAGTAGCTGGGGCTGATCAAACATCCCTACTGAGCCCACAGAGGCACAAAAGGAGCTAAGAGCTGACATTTTTAACACTGGAATTTTCAGGCAAGTAAAATCATAATTTTATCAGAATAGGGATATAAACATTGTATCATATATAACTCTTGGCTTGAAGTCCTGTTAGGCAACAGAGAAGTCTTGGAAACTAGATACCTTTATAATCTATGCCCCTTAAATAGGCTAAATCCCTCTAACACCTTTCATGCCAGCATTTCTTCTGCATAGTGATCAGGCTCTCATTATGTTTGACATTTTATTTCCACTGTTGAATTGTCTTTTCCTTGTTTTGCTCATTCGCAGTGCATACTGGCCAACCTACAAAAAAGTAATTTGAATGTTTTAAACCAGACTAATATATTTTGACTGTATCCTTGCTGACACAGAGGACTGTAATGCAGCCAGCTGTTCATTGTTACTATATAAAATAAAGTAGAACTCCCTTGTGATATTCTATATACTAACAAATGATGTAATGAAATTCTGGCCATGTGAAAATGCTATCGTTATACCACCCAGCATCCCCATGAGCAGTCAGAGGCCAAGTCACTTGTCTGAAAAGCCCCATTAACACATCATCCTTACAATTTGGAACTGTGATTGGTTTAACCTGACGTGCTGCTCATTTTCAGAGTCCTGCATTCTCCAATAGTACAAGTACACTTTGTACTGGTGAAAAGGTGTTCAAGACAAAGGCTGAGGACTTTTCTCTGTTAATGTGATATGTATAGATCTGTACACATGGGATGTAAAGAGCTGATTACAAGAAACATGGTCTACAAGTTGCAGGTGGGACTGCTCAGGTAAGGAAAGACAAAGAGGGAGAGAAATCCATGCAGAGAGGAGGAAAGTGTATCCTCCAAAAGAACTTGGTAAACTCTATTTAACATGTTTCTGCCCTCCTCCCCCATCTCCACCTGTATAGCTGTTGTATGGTGTCAGTGATTCAGTTTCTAACACAAGCCCACACACAGGTGTAGGATCACAGCTAAAGACACAGAAATGCAGAGTGGGAGTGAGCCCAAATGCAGGCTGTTACAGTCTACATCAGCACTGAAACCTGCTTCTCACAAAGCTGAACCTGAAAGCATGAAAAGAAAAGGAGCAGGGGGACGAACAAAGGAAAAAAGGTGGGTGAGCTATTTTAATGTGCACTGAAAAGTCTTGTGAGCTTTGTACTTTTATTAAATTTGAAACTTTAATCTCTTGCCCTTTTTAGAACCCGTTCAACACCTTATTGGAGAGCATATGCTCTCTGGAAAGTGATAAGATGGAAAGGAGAAAGTTCTGGGTTAATAGGGTTCCTGGGGGTAAAAGGACTGAGACCAGCCATTCCCAGTAAATGCTGGGGGTTGCAGGGCAATCCTGCGTGATGCTGGTCTTTTTGGGCTTTCAGAATAGGACCTCTAGAGCAAGAACATGAGCACTGCACCATACCTGACTGCAGGATGTTAGTCTCTTTTATCAGAGACCGAGTTATTGGGAGATTCCCCAACTCTTCCACTGCATGACACCATAGTTAGCACTTCCAGCAACAGCGAGGGCTCATTTCTCTGGTGGGAAAGGACGTGAGTCTGTCTCCTGTCAAAATAAAAAGCAACAATTAGCTGAGGTGATTGCACAAACTGAAGTTAGGAGAAATCCTAAGAGCGCATGAGGACAGCAAAGCTTTGCCCTGCACAAGGCAGAACTTTTGGAGAGTTACCCCCTGAACAAGGCAGTAGGACTGTGCTGCCCAGAGCGTGGCCACACAGACATATCAGCGCATGACAATTAGTCTTGTGCAAAGCACCACTGGGGATGTTCACATGCTTCTGGCTCTGGAGAAAACTTATTTGTAGCCAAAACGGGTATCTCTACTATGCAATGCAGACATACCCCGAGAGCCAATATAAACAGGTTAAAGCAGCCTGGATGTATCTCTGAGAGAACGGGGATGATGTTTCTTTCTCTGATTCACAAAAGACAGGCAGAAACATTAAGTCTGAAAACACCAGTCCCACATCAGCTTTGCCTGATTAAGGCTTTCAAACAAGGGATAAACTCTCATCTGAGCTTGAGCCTCTAGGTGCTTTATCTGTTCTCTCCTAGAGGATTCACTGCAATAAATATCAGTGGGTTTTCACTAGCAAGGATGGGGAGGAGGAACACCACCATATGGCATTTCCCAAGTGTGTTCATATCACATGCCTTTTACATATTTACATTTCTTTGCCATGGTCTGAGCCCAACCTCAGGCTAACCTTGAACCTTGCAAACTAAATACAGCCCTGCTAGTGTAGCTGGAACAGGTGGGAGAGCCAGATAACACAGAAAAAGCTCGATCTACAGTAAAAAGAAAGAAAAAAAATACTCCCCAAAATCTGTGCTATTAGAGCTACCCTTCTTGCTACACTGACAACATTTTATTTTGGAAATCGCAGTGATGTATGTTCACCACCACCATGAAGCTGAATGCAAAAATCTTATAGTTTTATTGCCCAAATAGCATACAGGGTCCTGAGACATTAAGGAGAGAGACAGACTGCTGACTCACACGCCCTTGCTTCCAGCTGAGCAACAGCCTTGGGGAACTATGGAGCAGAAAAGCCATTATACAGATCTGCTCCTACTCCATAATCTGCCTGGAGAAAATAAATAGATATTCCCTTCCTGTACCTTGGATGGTGTCTGCTGCGAGCAGTGCTAAAGCTGTCCAACTCCCACAGAGCCACGTCTACACTTGAGCTCCCAGGAGAGCTGCTGACCCAATTGGAGCACCTGGGGGAATAGTGTGCTAAAATTCCCACGAGCAGATATGACTGTGGGCTGTGATTCAAGATCTGAGACTTCATGAAACAGTTTTATTCCTGCACGATAATTAGCAGTGTAAATGAACTGGCAAGAACCATTTTACATGGAAGACCAATTCTTAATTCTTAACATGGCCTCTAAGATTGTCTAATCATAAAACACATGTTTATATATAAAGTTTATTTTATTTTTAAATTCACTTCATTTTTTAAAAAAACATAACTCCCCCCTCCCTCCCCCTGGAAGATAGATAATATTTTATGAAGTATTTTGGCAGGAGCCACAGATTATTGTATTTATTGGCGACATCATAATGAATTAAAGTAAAAGGAAAAAAATTAAAGCTATTAGAAAGAGGTCAAATTCCAGCCATTTCTCTAGAGCAAGGTTCAGTTTTCAAGTAATTTTTCAAAAGAGGTTTTACATTTACAAAATCTAATGTGGTTAATTTGAAACTGAATGAGCTAATTTGGTTTGATACCCTGGACGCTGCAAATGTATTGCTTCCCTTTGTGTGATAATGTTATTTATCATTTTTCTTCTGCTACCCTGTCAAAAGAACCATTTCAATTTCAGACTTCCATATTCATGAAAGCTTGTGCTGCTCCATTGTTTCAGCACTGGAAAAACATCTCTGGAAGGATCTCAACAGTGTGAGTTAGGAAGGGTGGAAAATAGGATGCTGCCTGCTGAACACTGCCTGTTCAGGATTGCTACACTTAAGTTTCCAGAAAACTGAGCATGAATTCTATCTCATCTAAGTTTTGGGTATTTTGTTGGTGTTTTGGTTTGGTTTTTTTTTTCCTATGGCCTTTCTGGCATCATTTCTAGAACAACTCCCAGGAGGTGCTGAGTTTGAATATTTCCAAAATTTACAGGTTTCACCCTGTGGCTTTGAAGCACATATAAGTTCTGCAAGACGGAGAAAGTGAAATTAACGGCTTGCCTTCCACCTCTAGGCCATTGAGCTGAATCATGCTACCTTGTAGGAGTTGTTCAGTGGCACACTTGAGTGCTGCTCACAGTTTCAATACATTTCCTGACTTAGAGATGTTGACAACTCCCCTCCTGTCCAGCCCTACACAGCAAAGCCCTCTGGCAGACCTTAGGAAGAGTGAGAACTGAGAGGGGCAGCAGCCCTAACACAGATGTTTACCACTCAGTTAATTAACTCTATCTTGGTGTTAACCACTTGCACATTCAACACAGAGCAGAAACATACAGGAGGAGGACAACTTAATACAAAAAAGATTCAAGCAAAAAATTAATTGATTTCAATATTGTTAGGAATAAAAAAGGAAAATTTCAATCCAAAACCTGTGTGCTCCATCCACAACTCAAAACTGATAAAACCACCCTGCAATATTGCTGGTTTCCCTCTTTGCACTGAAAAACAACACATACATAGTCATTACCATGGAGTAGTCCTGTGAAGACCCAGGGCAAACAGTCCTCCACTGATTTCACACTTATTTCACAATGTACATCCCTTATCACAAGGCTTCACAACTACACAATTTCCCCCTTTTGCCCAACACACAGGGCCCTGGGACCACTCATGAACTAGCCAACATCCCCTTCCACCCATCTCTTTCAGAGTCCTGGTGAGACACATGGGTCTACACGAAGGAACTACTTTACTGTTGGGTATTTTCCTGTCTGGGCTACAGTGTTTTGAGCTGCTGCTGCAGGCTACAGAACTCCAAGAATTTTGTTAAGAGGAAAAACCATCAGAAAAGATCTCTGTTACATGGTTAAACACACTTATGAAACTCTGCCTACCCAACGAGTTTTGTACATTGGCTTGAAAATCCAGCTGCGAGCCGTACAAAGGAAATGACGACAGGATATAAAGGACTAGGGAATATTCAATATTTACTAAACAAAGATCTTAGTTTGAGTATGCGTCCAGTCATACCATAAGTATTTGACAGAAACAGCGCTCTGTGCTGGGACAGTTTGGAGAGTCATTGCTGTCATTTTGGAGTGCACATGCAATAAATCACCTTGCATTAATGTACTTGCAATAGCTGAATTTTTCCTTGACTCTTAAATTATGAATTCAAGCTAGAAAGCAAGCCAAAAGGCATTGGTAAATACTGGAACAAAACCTGAAACCCTGATAGACCCATGATCATTTTGAGAAGTTCAGTTCACACCGTCGTTGTTCAAAGGAACTCTCTTCAGAGGAAGAATTTCCAAGCTCAGACCTGAACTCAAGTTAAAATCACACCAACTTGTTGAAAGAGATTTTACAACTTCAACTGACTTCTGAAGTGACTAGAGAGCAGTTCAGAACATTTTTAATATTACCAGATGAGAGTTGTTCCTTTAGCTCAATATGTTATGTCTTCTCCTTGGGAACTGAAGAAAAGGGCTATTGTAAAACGTAATTATTTATGAACTGTGTTATGGTGTTTGCCAAATGACAGTGTGCAAGGGGCCCCATGTCTAAGTGGGCTGCACAGAGCTTTGGCACTGTAGTGACAGACTGCCACCTTTTAGGAGCCTTTAGTCTGGAGAGTCAACAGAGGCAAAAGGCTGGAGATTATCAGCTCCAGGTTGGAGATGGCCAAAGTGATTAAATTACTTGCCTGGGTAGAGCAGAAAACTGAACTCAGTTCTCCTGAGGCCCATGGTTGCACCCGTGATGTGCTGTGACTCACAGCTAACTCATGGTTGACTAACAATAGTTTAGATTTCAGTTATCGGAGATTACCCAGCTTCTCTACCCTTTGCATTACGTTTCTAGGATCATTTGAGTGGTCACACTTTACAGGCACTCTTGTTGATGGAAATTAATTTTGAGGCTCAGAGACCTAAACATCTGCAGCCACCTTGGTTCACAAAAGATGATAAAAGACCTAAGAGAAAATCTGTAATTCCATGCAGCCCAGGTGAGTCAGGTGCAAGCAAGCAGCAGTCCCAGTTCTGATAAGACACATTTCAAAAGACCTTTGATTTGCTAGCTGTAAATTCAGGGGAACTGCGATCGCTTTGGGGTTAGTCCTTGACAAGTATAAGTGCTGTAGTCTAAAAATAAATTATTTGGTAACACCTTGAAACCAGACTCCATTGAAAGGACGAGCTACAGTGGTCCCGCGTTTATGACGGACTTGCTTCTACTTTCAGGTTTTTTGCTCTCATTTTATCAGGATCCTCTGTCATCATTGCATTTCCTGAACTTTCCCATCATTGATTTACTTTTTTGTTCAATTGTGTCCCTATTTCTTTTCTCAGGTGCTGCTTATGCATCAGTTTGAATAAAGTGATATATAAACATTTGCTGGATCAGTGTGAAAAAAGGTTTGCTTCTTTCCTAGCTGCTAATATGGGTGCCAGATTGAAAAGAACCACAGAAACAAAAAAATAGTGGTAAATCAAGCTTTTTGCACCTTTTGAACATCTTTGAAAGGCAACTTTTTCTCCTTTTACCTTCATAGTTCAACTAATATTGAACTCTGAAACAGGTCTCTTCTTGTTCAAGTAAAGCCTGGCCCCTGCCTAAGATAGCAATGGGTTTTATACCCCTGCACCTACCATTCAGTCCAGAACCACTATAAACTTCTCTCAGCCAGCTGCAGATCTTCCTGCCTCCCTTCCCTCTATTCCTCTGCAGGAAAAAAAAATGTTTTAATATTTAGTTTCCCTGCAAGTTTCTTAGTGCTGCTTATCTCTGGAAAGGGTTTCGATCTTTTCCTGCTTTGATTAAACGACGACACAGATGGGAAAGTTGTGTTACTTGTGCCATTAGCAGCATTGCTAATTTTCTCAAGTTGACAGCCCAGGACCAGGTGAGAATTTATTGTAGGAGGCTTTTTTTTTTTTTTTCCTTGCAGTACCTGTGCAAGGTATAGAAAGCAACAGAAATAGCTGCAGAGTATCTGGCTAGCAAGCCTTAACCGAGTCATTCACTTCAGGTGTCCTTGATGTTGCTGTACAGGGAGCCCAATCATTATTTGGTAGTTAACGCTCTCTTTTATGATCTCATTTTTCCTTGTAACTGTGAGAATGAAGGAGTTTTGCTCAACCGTACCAGCTTGTTCCAAAGTCAGGGGAGACTTCATGCAGTATTGAACAACACAATAACATGTCAGGAAAAATAAATTAAATGGCTTTGTGGTGTCAGCTTGTGAAGAATTGAGATGAAATATTTTTTCCATGTGCCGAATGAGCACAGACAAAATCTGTCTAGATACTGGACTCACTACAACCTGCTTGTATCATTTTTGGAGGAACGAACAGTCTGTCTTATGGCAGACACTCAACCACGCTACACGCTCTGAAAAATACTCCCTTTTCTCAGAATTAAATTCTTCATAGCTCGGTAAGACAGAGTGGAAGCTATTTAGTAGAGTCTTCTGGAATAGCAAAGCACATTGGCTGTGATTGTATACAGTGCCGATTTTTTTTTCTTAGGTTCTAACTCCTCTTGAATTGGAACTAAATGAATAAACCCCAATAAAAGGAGAATTCAAAAAAATCAAGTGCCTGTTCCAGGTGAGCTCATATGTTGGAGAGCAAGTTCTGGGTGATTGTGGGTTACTGGAAGTCTATGCTGGGTGGAAGTATATATGATTTTTTTTCCAGGGTTAGGATGCCTCCAGCTTCATCTAAGTTGATTTTAGGTAACTACATTTTATTTAAGCCTTAAAGTTTCAGTTCCCAGAAACATCAGATTGTTACTTTCTAATTAAAAAACAACAACAAAACAGACCCTCAAAAATCACCAAAACAACAACAAAAAACCACAACAAAAAACCCAAACAAAACCATCATATTATTCCAGGGAGGACTATCCATGTGTAAAATGTGCATTTTTCTTTCTCTGACCTACCCACATTCCTATGAATTTCATTTACTATCAAGCCACTGTCAACCGGGAGAGACAACACGTTCTGCAAAGAGCAGCCTGTAAGTCTTATTTTAAACACTGAAACTATCACAGTGTCTGGTTTAAGTACAGCAAATTGAGCATGAAGAAACAGCTTTCAGAATAGGCTTTATGTGAAGAGCCTCACAGTGTCCTTGCGGGGGAGGGGGAAACAGCCCAAAGGCTGCAACCTCTTTTTTTATTTTTAAACATGAAAGCGACAATTCTTGAGTTTTCATTCACAACTTCTCAAACACGAAGCACGTTAATGCCCGCAAAACTGCTTATTCTGTGGCTGCATTCCAAGTCCTAGCAAGACACTTTATTCATTGCAGCAGCTGAAAGCACCACCCATTCTCACTGTATCTTTCAGGCCACAATCGCTGGTGTCAGATGTGTTTTTACTAACGAGACTGTGGAACTGGTAAGCAGAGAGCTTTCCCACCCTTCCCTTCTCCCAAGCATCCGACCAGCCACGGTTTCAGAGTGGCCACACCCTGCTTGTTATTGTTGAATTCAAATATTAAAGGTGGGTTCTTTTATATTTTCCTTAGCCTTTCACCTTTATTTAAAATAGAGTGCATTCAAGGGACATCTGTGTTACTGGCAACAACATCACATGAAGGAGCTTTCTATAAATAACATCACTATTAAATAAACGGCTGGAGCAAAGCACTTACTAGCACGATGAAGTCAGTATTGTGTTATTTATTCTTGGTAGATCTGACTGTTAGTGAAGTGTACATTTGTTTTCATTTTGAAACGATACATTTAAGGTGCAAATAAAATTGAAAAGCAAGATCCAGAAGATGTGTTGCCAAAATTGCTAAATTTCCTGGGTGACACTGGCAAAATGTCTAACATCCAAATTCAAAAAGCAACTCCTGAGTTTTTGCACTTATTATTTTTAAAGGTCATTTTTGAAAATGTGGGTTCTCTTCTCCTTTATCTCTGTGTTTTTCAGCTGTAAAATAGGGTTAATAACACTTAACTGGTTCACAAAAGTATTATGATGGTTAAAACATTCATGTGAGTAAAGTACATTAAGTTTCTCTGACTGAATGAGTCACTACAATACAGAAATTATTTCAATTTGAGATGTTTGGCATGTGAAGGAGCAAGGTAAACACTAGATCATTTTCTCCTGTTTTCACAACTGAAAAAAATGTGAACTCTATAAAACAGAGGCCAGACTTTCAAAGAGCTACAGAAAACCTATCCAAGTATACATTTATAGCATAATGTAGACATACCCCAAACCAGTCCTAAATTGGCTTGCTAAGGGTTGGTCAAGGTCTAGTCAAAACTTTGATTTGCTGGGGAAATTCAGTAAATTACCCTGACAAACTCCTTACTCCATCTCTAAATTATTACTCTTAAATAAGCTAAGTAAACCTACCTTGAATGTTTACACTCTGAAGAAATGTCTGCAGCGAAGACAATGTAATTTAAACAAATAAAATGACAAGAATTCAGGAGAAAAACAAGGACAAGAAAAAAGAACATAAAAAGACATAGGAAGTGGTAATAGATATGATTTCATCAAGAAGGCCCAGTAGCAGCAAAGAGATTATGGAAGAAAACCTATAAAATTAATTAGAATAATATATTGTTTTCCTACTCCCAAATAGCCCATGGAATGTAATGAACATGATAAAAGAAAATTTTACCTTCCCCCCCCCC